CAGCCCTGTAGAAGGATACATGTATGTAAAATTTAATCGGTCAAAGTTTTACGTTCCACGTTGTTAAACGGTTTACGGTCAATTTACCGGCTGGCCGAGAAACTGTCTGTGAAGTTTTTGCTACAATTTGTACGCTCGAAAATTTTGCCTCCGTTATCTATCTGGATTTTTCCTCTTTGAAAAATATCAAACGACAACCGACGATCGAGTTTTTTTTCTCGCCCATCGAAATCGATTCCCGATACACGTAACCCGCCGAACGTCTGACTATCGTTTTCGAGGCGATTGATACCTTTTTAGGTACTCGAGCTCCGAATGGGAGAGAGACGCACCTGACCTTACTTCTCTCGTTTGAGACACGAGCGAAGAATGTCGAGCTATGAAATCGTTGCTTAGCATACAAAATCGAGCTCGTGTTTACGTTTCCAATTCCCTGTACGATTTCCAATGGTAGGAAAGGAGAGAAATAGAAATCGTTGGTATTTGAAACTTGTTTGAAATTATTTGAAATTTGAGGTCATAAAAAAATGTACGTATACTTTCGAATGGAAAATTTGACAAATTGAATACTCTTATTCTTCTATTAAAATTGTTTGTAATTGATCGTAATATTTGTTAAACTCTGTGATTAATTTGGACAATTTGTTTTTTGACATTGCATCAACGTCATTTCTTTTTTTTCTTCTTTCTTGGAAAACGAAAAGCTTCTTTTATTTACCTTTATTAGTCAGAGGAAACAGCTCGTCAAGCAGCACACCTTGCAAAATCGACGTCATTGTGATGACAATCGAGGAAACTACTACGCGACACGAAACAAATACACGATAAACCTCGAGAAAAATTTAATAAAATAGTTATTTATCTTACACATGAATTAACATTAAATGGAAATTCAAACAAAAATAATTACAAAAATGAGTTAATATTAAAGAATTTTTCATCTTCATGAAATTAGGATAAATCGAATTTAAAAATAAAAATTAAGATACAATTGTCAATAATTTATCTATTATCTTCTTTTTTTTTACATTATTCTATCATGAAATCGTGTAAATATCTATATATATAGAAAAACGATTTCGTCATGATAAAGAAAGTAAGTAGATGCTCATAACCTTCATATTTTTCCCGCCTACATAATATTACTTCCATTTTCCGTCATTCTAATATTGAAGAATCGCGTAGGTGAACAGGAAGAATATGAAATAAATCTTGTATCTGCTTTATGAATTCAATTGCTCTATTGCAAATATTTAAGTTCAAAAACTATTGGAAATCCTTCAATATTTTTTATACAATCTCTAGCAAAATTATTTGATTAACAATTTTCTTAAACCGAATAAAATCTATATATTTTAAAAATGTATTACTAGGAATTAATAGATTATTTCATAAATAATGTTTAAAAACTTAATTTTAATAAAAAAGAAATAGAACAATGATATTTTTTTTACTTTTAACCTATTATACATTCTCTAATCTAATTTAACCTAACCTAACTAGTTATTAAATTATCTTATAAATAATTTTTAAAAATTTTTAACAAAAAAAAAAATAATAGTGCTTACTTCTAATTTCTCATTTTTGAACCAGATTTTTAATCCTTTTCAAAGAATATGTAATCTTTTCAATTAATATATTTTTTAAATTTTATTAATTGATGGTCTTCATTTCAAAGATTTTATCAATTAAAAAATTCTGAAAACAAAATACGTAGTAATATGTTAATATTGAATCAGAAGAATATACGTGATATGAAATTATTTACGATTCTTTATCATTGCTTTTGCTTTTTATAGCTAGGAAAAGTAGTTTGTTAATTCTATTTATATTGTTATAAAATTGCATATGAATTTGTTTAATTCCAATGATTTTATTTCATTTTAAAAATGACTGAAATAGCTGAAAAACATCATATCGTAAAAGCTGAAAGTGATTAAAAAATCATTTATGAATATATGTAAAAAATTGACTTATGATAATCAACTGATGATAATTTGTTTGCGCGATACGAATAACTCGACGATATCAGCATAATAAAGAGTTCATCGACACAAATTAGAAATATCGATTGAATAATATTATTTATGACTTGCGAAAAAAAAAAAAATAAGTCATACTATTGCAATACTTATTGACAAATAGATACAAGCAATGAATAAAAGCATTCTAATGCACCACATCATAGTATGTGATTTTTAAACTAACCTAAAAATATTGAATTTGTTTACGTAATTTAATGTAAAATTACGCAATTGATTATATATATAACTAAATTAATTAAGAAATCAAATATTCGAAATCTTATACGATTATATTTCTAAAAAATATATTTCTTGAAAATTTATTGTCTAGAAAATTGTTTCATGCATCGATACACGACTAACATGATACACGAACGATATCGTGTCCCTTGCAATAAATCGACATTACACTGTTAATTGTTTTCTCATACGAGCTGATAAGAACCTGCATGGACACAATCAAAGAAACAATATTATGATCAATGTACAGACACATGTATATGCGCAGTTTAGAAAATGATTGCCTTAATTAGTCATCTGCAATCGGACTTAAAAGCAAGAACTCGCTTTTAATTGGAGCAAATATTTGATAATTGCAGGTACAAACGTGGAAAACGTCATTGATCGATAAGTTTGACAAACAATAAAGTTTTATCATTAAATCAATAATGTGGAAAGAAAGTATTCTTGTAAATGCCATCAGTGCAAACCGTATTTGAAAAATCTACAGGCCAAGAATGCTTTATTGATTGATGAATTGTTTTTCCATTCACAGCAACTTCAAAAAAAATAATTCAAATTATTTTCTTCTACTTCTCTATATAAGTTAAATTTCATAAATTATTTTAATAAAAATAAGCATAAAATATTGTATTATAATTTTATATTAATTGTACAATCTTATTATAAAAAAAAAAGGAACAGACATTTGCGTAAAAACAAATTATATTCCAGTTAGAAATTTTCAAAGCAAAACTCTCTCTGTATTCTCCCTTTCTCTGTCAAGAGCATGGCGAGGCACGCCCGTATCGTACGTGTACATATGCTCACGAGCAGCCGTTAGCGGTTAAACACGAACGCGTCCCGTATCATGATTCACGAGGGAATACGAGTAGAACGTCAATGAATCGTAATATACAATGACAGATAGAATCGAATACGCTTTCGTATCGAAATGTTCATGGATTGACCTAATCTTTATATATCGCACATTGAAATAAAAGTTACAATTACGTTACTGATTACCATAATCCTCGAAAGTAAGGTTATCATTGAATAAATATATACTTACAGTATCATATATTATATTCCTAAATGATATAAAATTGTATATTGAAATTATTTTACATCGATATTTCTGTAATTTTTGTAAAATTTGGATTTATAATTTTAAAGAAATATATATTCACGATGATAAATGTAATTAAAATTCACAATATTACGAATAATAGTATAATAATAGTACAAAATATTCTGAAATTTTATTAAATCATTCAATAAAATTAAAATAGCAATATATGAAATATATCAAATATGTTAATTCTTTTCACTGACCGTTGAGCAAAGACCAAGCTGCAAGAAATTCATCGATCTCTGAACCTATAGGAGTAAGAGAGATCGCAAGGAACAAAAACGACGACTTGGAATGCGTGAATGAATTATTATAAAGAACAGAAAGTAAGGAAGATGACGAACCTGAGTGGCATGATTTTCAATACTATGCATATAAGCATAGATACGCATAAATTCCTTTACAAAATATAGGGAAAAAATAATGAGCATATAAAATTATACAAATAATCATTTTAAGCAAAAACAAAACAAAATATTTAAAAAATCAGTAATCACTATATACTATTTAAAAAGTTGAATTAAATTATAAACATAAAAAATTTCAACTAATACTTCAGATTTGTTAAAAAATCATTAAATTCACAAACAATTATAGCATGTTTATTTATGAGTTCAAACTGGAATATCTAACATGAAATTCAATAAACGATATATATATATATATATATATATATATATATATATATATATATATATAT